GAGAGAGAGAGAGACACACACCCACACACACACACACACACACACACACACACACACACACACACACACACACACACACACACACACACAAAATGTGTGTATTCCTAGGAATGCCTTTAAGGTTAAAGTATTTATTCCTAAGCTGAACATACCCTAAGACTAAATCCCAATTGCTTCAGCCAACGAACAATATAGTTGGAAATAACAAAAATGAAGAATCTGACCTTGTCATTTGATAGAACGTAAAATTCCAGGGCACTTTCCCAAAAATAGCACTTCTTTTACAAACTAATAATATGGATAGAATAAAGCAAGTAAAACTAATAATCAATAGTATAATAAAATAACTCAATGGAATTATAATATACAACACAAGCAATGGAAATCAATTGAGTCAATAGGAATTGTACTTGGCCATGATGTAACAACAGACACAAGCAACTTGTTTATTCGAGCGAATAAAAACTGTAATAAATAATCACATGACTACAGTAGCTGAACCTAAGGGAAGTCTCTTTTAAAATTCAAATCAATTCCATTATGGCTATGCTGTGTATAAGCCGCTAAGAATACTATTTTGCTATTAATATACAAAATATCCTCTGACAGCAGTGATGAATTTCTTGATGACTATTCTGGATTCACTGGTCAAGGAAAGAATTTAACAGTACGAGCGAGAACATCTGTGGTGAAGATTTTGCAGACTAGGTGGGGGGAGAGGGGGTGGCAGCCTCCCCATAAAAGGGGATTTAGAATTACTATGAATGTGCAATGTAATAGTTTAACTGTTAAGAGGTTTACTTTGTTCATTTAGGGCCGTTAATATAACTGTACTTTATTTGCGGTAGTAATGAGTCCTGGATTTATTTGAAACCCATTCAGAACTATCAGAAATCGCTGTTAGGTATCACTTTAAAATTTACCCAAAATACCCAAAAAGTTTCGGGCACTCCTGCAAATCCAGAAACTGATATACAAATCAAAAACCTTCATAAACCTGGGAGCCTTGCCCCTAGACCAACCCTCTAGCTGTATTTCTCCGACTGGAAGTTCTGCCACAACCTCCACCGTATCCCTTGCACTTCGTGTGTGTTGCAATTTAGGGTTAATGTTACCGAGAGTGGATGCACAGAGATAGAGGAAAATGGACACTGCCATAAATAGAAGGTAATTGAAGAGAAGGTAGGAAATGTTAGGTCAGGACTTTGGGCTCCCATACCTTAGTTTTGGGACTTTCAAAGATATCAGCGAGTGTAGTTTTTGCCTCTCTTTTGTACAGCAACCTTTGATTTTCCCTATCTTAGTGGGGTCATTTTGAAAATATACACCCGGACTTTAATCTCTGAGGGGCGCCGACACTTTGTAAACAATTACCCACAAAAAACACAAGAAGAACATAGAGTTTAAAACGGCTTCCTGTTGAAGAGCATTTACAATGAAGACTGAGCGAGGTTTGACATTTAACACGAATCAGTACAGAAAGGCTGGAGTGATTACTAATTTAGCTTTGATATTTTGCTCTTAACTGACGACCTAGAAGAAGAATCGCCAATTTTCTTTTTCGTGAAACCCAAACGTTTGGAAGTGGATTCAAAAAATTCTTTCAAAATCTGTTTTTTAGTGTAATTAACCACCACTTTTGCCTTTAAACGTCCATCAAGTGAATATATCGGCCACTAATTGCTTCCAAGTGTTCTAAACGGTGATAATTGTCGTAAATACATGAAAAAATAGCTGAAATACACTTACACTTTTCTGAAAGAACGTGGAAGCCGCTTGGTAACGTTTGTACCTCAACAATGAACGAAATAATATAATATTTACCTTATCTGATGAAAAAGATATATGATTAGAGCAGCACATAGTTTTAAAATAATTATCATGCAAAATAGGATTATCATGGCGTATATTTATGAGTAACACAGTTTTAGTATATAATTTTTTCAACCAAACACGAACGTCAATGTTTACACTCATTCCTCCCTTAATATTGGTCTTGATCCTTTTTACGTTGGCAACTGGCTTATCTTAAAGGACCAGAGATGACTAAATAAGCTGAATGTCCTTGTCAAGGAGTATACTATCGAGAAAAATAGAATATAACTAGAATATATCATCATATTTGCCATTTGGAATGTTGTTGGTTCGTAACATGGAACTGGATATTCTTTAAGCAGAGAGTATAGAGTAATTGGCGACCCGGATTGGGATCAAATCTCACTGGGAGGCGGAGACACACACATCAACAGATTCCTGCGTCTATACTCTCATATGATTGCTGAACCCTTGTTGGAAGAGACATTACTCTGGCAAAATGGTAAGAAATTTGCCCTTTTTCCGGCGCGAAAGGGGGGAATACTTGATCTAACGGATTAAGAGCGACGCAAGACCTCAATAGAATCGAATTAGGTCCTGGTCTGGCTGTAATTAGGGACTTCCGTCGCCGACTGGTTAGGTCTGTTGTATCTCCACCCCCTTTTCTCGCACTGACATTTGGCTCGGTTATTTGAGACATTTCTTGGCTCACCTGCCATGAATTAGTGACAGTCGAAGTTATAGTAGCTAGGAAGGAAATGGAGGATAACAGGAAGTTTCGGGTTGAGTAAGAATAATGAATAAAAATACGGTATATATAGAGAAAGAGTACAATACATTTCCTTCAAGGTAACATGAGAAACCTATTTATTCATTAACAGACATTGTGATCCAGCAGTTAGTATGGCCTCCTTACTATTAACCCACTAGTAAAGGGACACTAACCATCTTTGTAATACATACACTTGCATATCGTCTTGTGCATTCACTAACATCTTTCAGTAATGTGTATTGCAATGAGTGATACACACATTATATTGCCGCATGAATGTCTAGAATGGTTATTGTCTTTCTGATATGTTAAAGTCTCAGAGTTTGTACTGATCTGGCAAGGTCGTTGAAAAGTAGTGTTTGGGGTCATAGTCTCGTTTGACAAGTCTCTTTTGTAAATAAATGAAGGGGTGTTGTAGACAACAACTTTCCATAAAAAAAATCAATAAAGTATGTAATGGTTAGCTTTTAAAAATGCAAACCATATGTAAATACCTTGTTATAATTGTTTAGACCAAAGAGAAAGAAAATCAGAGTATTGCAGGGCCTAAGGTAAATTGCCAGTTTTCCAGTCTTGATACTGGATGCGGTATAAATCATACACTGTTACCGTATGTCATTCCTGTTTGAAAGATTTTTGTCAGACTTACTTCCTTTTGCTTATTGAGTGTTTGAAAATAATGTCATAACAGCTATACTGCAAATGTGCAATCCATTGTAACATTTTTACCTGAACAGTGCTACAAACATATCCACATGAATATTTAGTCAGGCATATGAAAGAAAGAGAAAAAAATATACATGAAAAATATTCCAATAGATGCTTGTCTTAATCATCATATCAAAAAGGGAGGACAGATGAAATAAACACATCTCAACCCAAGGTATGGAAGAAAGGTTACGAGAATCTTCTTTACTTAGAAAAAAATGCTGTATATTGAGTGCAGATTCTCTTCACCACCCCTTATATTGCATCCACAAATAATTTTTTTCCTAAATAATAAGTGATTTGAGTTAAATGGAAGAGATATAGTGTTGGTTTTTATAATCCAAATTAAGGGGAACAATAATACATCCTAGTTGCAACAGCTGTGAGGGAGTTGCTGTATATTCCATGAACTGTCAAAGGGCTACTCAAGATATAATGAAATATTCATTTTAAAACACATTGTAGAGGGGGTAGGATGGAAAGGTTAGTCAGTTCTGGATGAATCATACTATCACTGGATTCCACATTTTTTGGCACTCTAATAAAGGCTAAGAGACCTACACCACATCTATTTTGACAGCTTGTCTTCAAGGAGTGAACTAGTTTAGATTCTGTCTTGCCATACATATGTGGTGAAAATTACTTGACCTTTGCAAAAGCACTGAAGCTGTGAAGGCTCTGACTTAATCCCAAAACACTGCACATCTTAGTCCTGCACTTCCTTAGTCCAAGTTGCTACTCAGCCACAACTGATCATGATTCTTCATATTTGGTCTTTAACATTTAGAGAGTTTGATTTAACCAACCAAGATGTATGTCCTGTGCTGGTGTCAGATAGCCACCTGATGATAAAGATTCTAAGTTCAAAAAGTTACCTCTTGTATATGAGTAGAAATAGGGAACACCTACAAAAGACAAAGTAAAGTGTATTTAATGTAATGAGACACTTAATCAATGTGAGTACCCCAGCCATGCTAGAAGACTATATGAAGGAAGAGGGGAGGGGAGTTCAAGGAGATGGGTCTTGGGCCGGAAGAGTGATGGCAAACATTATCAGATATTCTTGTTCACATTCACAATATCCCATTCATAGATTGATAGACAAACACCCAGTGTTCAAGAACTTTGCTCTCTCAGAGCCAATTAGCTTTAAAGTTGTAGGCTTTCTGTTATAGATTTAGCAAGTTTCAAGTGAAAAGGGATATGAAACAGCAGAAAGAAAAAGACTTTAGAATAGTAAAGTTTCCCCAAGATGGCATTGATTTTATTGAAAGCTCTCTATAAAAGAGGATGTTAAAACCAGGATTGCTATAGCTTTATCTAACTCTCAGACCAGATTCAAGCTAGGGATTATTGCCCCTTTTGTCCAGGCAAATTGTCAGGGGAACTAGGTAAGCCAGACCTTGAGAGGTTTTGGCCCATTTTTTATATATGAGCAAGTCTTGGGGAGGCATGAGAGAGGAGTAATAAGAAAATTATAGGATAGAAAAAGAGAAAACAAGTAGCAACAATGACAGGCACAGATAAAGACCTGATATAAGGGTAGATGAGTAACATGTATATACAGTATGCATTCACAATCACTATGGTTCAGTCTTTAACCTGTTGATGATGGGATGGCATGTCTACATTCCCTGTCTACTATTATTTTAGTTTGTTAATTCACTTGGGAAAATGTAATTTCATTTTAGTTGTCTTTTATGAAATGTCTACGCATAGTGCCACAAGGGCTCAGCCAAGACCTCTAGACTTCATCGGATTTCACCTTTCCCAAAGTTTTCGGGAAAAAGTTTGTTTTTTTTTCTACCAATGCTATCTGTATTTATGCTAATATTTTTACCATAGACTTTGTAATTATTATAATGTCATTAACATTACTAGTAGTAATATAAGACAAAAGAGAACATTTCTGAAAATAGAGAAATTGGTAAACAGGTGGAATAGGTAGTACTAATAATTGGCTCCTCTGTGAATAAGTACTTTTAGAGTCATCTATGTAACTTGTAGAGCCATCTATGTATAGATTAAAATCGCAGTGGGCATAGTATGCCAGTATATGTGCCATCCCAGGCAACATCAGGTTAATTTTGTTTGCATATAGATGGCTCTGCTAGTGCTTTACCAAGGACTCAATTACTAGTCCTCCATGATCTTGCCTGCTTTTCCAATTTCTCGATTTTTTTTAAAGAAAAGATATTATTATTACTATTAATGACATAAACATTATAATAATCTCAATCATGATAACAATGAAAGTAATAGTACTAGAAATATAAGCTTGAAAATTGAAGGAATGGGATAAACAGGTGAGGTCAGGTAGGCCTAGTAATTGAGACCTTGGTGACTAAGCCCTTGTGAAGCCATCTATGTCTAAACAAAATTACAATGGACAGAGGATGTACCTACCGCAGTTGGGTTAATGATGGCACCTTGGTATCTTTACTGCCTGTAAAGGGCCTGTAAAGGGATAGCAGCACGTCGAGATGCATATTCTGTTGAGGCTAGATCTGGAACATTCACTTTGATGTATAGTAAAATTATGAAGCTTTTTCTCTCGTTAAATATGTCTAAGGAAGGTTTATAGCAGAGAAAAATATTTTTCATCTTGTATTTTGAGAAGCTCGTAAATGTATGGAAGTTAAGAAGGTTTTAACTTGGAGAAGGATTCTAATAAGGGTCTTACATAGCAACTTGATATGTAGAGCTTGTAATGTTAGAAAGTTATGCTAAGACTCATAGGATAAGAAGTTGTTTGATGAGAGTGTAAAAGAGTGAGTAGACTAGCAAGGGTTCATTTAAGTTGTGCATACTAGCATATAGCAGAGGAAACAGGGCTCCCGTGGTGTGAAAAGGCCAAAGGAGAATTTTATGTCTGAAGTGAGATTTACAGATTTTGTATGTGTGATGGTTGTTTGGAGGCAGTATACTTGTGTTTAAAAAAGAGTGTGAGTGTGTGTGTGAGTATGTGAGTGTGTGAGTGTGTGTGTGAGTGTATGAGGGAGTGTGTGAGTGTGTGTGTGAGTGTATGAGTGTATGAGGGAGTGTGTGAGTGTATGAGGGAGTGTGTGAGTGTGTGAGGGTATGAGGGAGTGTGTGAGTGTGTGAGTGTGTGAGTGTGTGAGTGTGTGTGTGAGTGTGTGAGTGTGTGAGTGTGTGTGAGTGTGTGAGTGTGTGTGTGTGAGTGTATGAGGGAGTGTGTGAGTGTGTGAGTGTGTGTGTGAGTGTGTGAGTGTGTGAGTGTGTGTGTGAGTGTGTGAGTGTGTGAGTGTGTGAGTGTGTGTGAGTGTGTGAGTGTGTGTGTGTGAGTGTGTGTGTGTGTGAGTGTGTGTGTGTGTGTGTGTGTGTGTGTGAGTTTGTGTGTGTGTGTGTGTGTGTGTGAGTGTGTGAGTGAGTGAGTGAGTGAGTGAGTGAGTGAGTGGGTGAGTGAGTGAGTGAGTGAGTGAGTGAGTGAGTGTGTGAGTGAGTGAGTGGACAAGAGAAGAGGAGAAAAAGAGAGCAGAGAGATATGAAGAAAGTGTATATATAGACTATGAGAGGTCTGAGTCAAATATTTTCAAAGAGGAAGATTTCTCTGTTATCTTACAATGCATTCTTGAAGGTGTTTCGTTGTTGTGAAAGGGATTTGACAGCCATTCTTTGGGAATGAAGTTAATCTTCTATTGGTGTTAACAAGAAATGTGCAAGTCATTAAGAGTTATGCTGCAGAATGGACGCTCCAGGGGATTATTAAAAAAAAAAAAGAGGGGCTGAAATTGAAAACATGTTGAAAGGGTTGTGGTGTATATATATCATATGTATATAATATAATATATATATCATATGTATATAATATAATATATATATCATATGTATATAATATAATATATATATATATGTATGTATATATATAATATTATGTATATTATATATATTATATATGTATATAATATTATATATATTATATATGTAAATAAATATATATATATTATATACATTACATTATATTATATATATTATATATGTATATATATATTATATATATAATATATATGTATATATGTGTATATTATATATTATATGTATATATATGCATATTATATATTATATGTATATATATGTTCGTATAACTTCGTATAACGTATGCTATACGAAGTTATTACGCACGCGTTTGTGTGTGTGCATGGGTTTGTATGTAGGCGCGTGCGTGCATGCGTGTGTGTGTGTATATATACATATATATAGACACATATATACATACATTTATATATCCATACATACATATATACATACATGAATACATACATAC